GAGGTTACATTGCAGTAAGGTCTGTAGATATAATATTTGATGATATTTAAAAGAAACGCATTGCCAGTAAATTTATTTGTGTAAAATTTCAATTATAACATTGAAATTGTATCTTTAACAAATAATTACAATATATATACTATCCGAAAGCCCGACTTCGCCCGTGTTCTGTCCAGGTTGATGCTTGTTCAACTAATATGGTTTTGCTAAATGATAATTTTTATTATGATTAGGGTCTTGTATATGATTATTATTCTTTAATAATAACAGTGATGTCGTGTTGATAGTAATTCATTAATTTGTAACCATCAAAATCTAATCATATTATAGTACATAACCTTGTTAGAAAGAGGTGCTGCGGTATAGTTATTTTTGGTGGACAAAAAATATTGGCTTCCAAATATATATGTGATGATTTAAGACCATGGAATTGTTGTAAATAATCCAGATATCTACTACCACATATTTCACCACGTGACTGTATATAACTTGTTATTTACTGCAAATAGAAAGCCTCAACTAACATCAATCTGTACCGCGTAAGAATCTAATAAAGTATAGCAACTGTACAGATAGAAGGAATGGAGCATAACAGGAGAAAATTAAGGTTAAAACTAATCAGGCCTAAGTGAGAATATGAAAGTAGGCCTATCGAGCCCAGTCCAATTTTTACGAGGTCGTGGCCCTCCTGGATGATGTAACTCCCCCCCCCCCCCTGTTTACGTCAGAAAAGGGCAGTGACCTGCCTGGACCCTGAAGCTATAAAAGGAGGCCCCAAGCCTCAGTTAGTTAGTCCTTTGTTTCAGTCCTCCAGTCCGCAGGCCGCTCCTATAGAGGTAATCCTTTCCTGTCAGAAACCTCCTCGTCCCATTCCTTCTTGACGTTCAGACGCTTCTAAGTGGAATCTCTGTTTGTTTATTTCACCTTTGGCCCAACTGTGTCGCCTTCCACCACGACTGCACGGTAGAGGTGACATCGAGGTTCGTCTAGCATCAGGTAACACTGGTCCCAGAGGTCCCAAGATATCACACACATATATATATATATTAAAAATGGCATATCCTGACCAGGAGCACATGTGCTTTACAGAAGGCAGAGCGCCATCTGGTGGAACAGAAATCAACTAAACATTGATTTATCGCTCTGCCTTCTGTAAAGCACATGTGCTCCTGGTCAGGATATGCCATTTTTAATATTGATTTCAACATCTGATCTTTTTATCTTTTATTTTTCTTTCGTTTTTTAATATATATATATATCGTACCACAAACACTAGCAGTCATGAGGCCAAGTGGTTTCAGGCGTCTATGTGTAACACAAAGAACTAGTAAGGTTGATAGGCATCTAAGAGAGAGGACAGCGACCGAAGACTCGGCAAGGTCCAGGAGAGTGTGATCTGTAAGAGTGGGCGATATGATCTGTTACTGTCCGGCGGCAGTGTCTTCAGCCATTGTTGATCTTCATAGTCGCACCTGTAGCAGCGTACTGTACTCCATGTTAGGATCGGCTACAAATGGCGACTTTTCTTCATGTCAGAGGCGGCCATTTCTTTTGGAGCTAAGTCGGCCGGCTACTGATTAATGCTCCCCGTCTTAATGACAAAGGCAGATGCATTCTACTTCACTCAGTGAAGATAAGAAAGAAGAAGATAGTCGCACCTTCCAGTCAGCGTCCCACTCTCACGTCCCACTCTTTACAGTCCAGCCGATCCCACGATCACTGGAATGTCTTTTGTCTTGAGTCCGGCGCATTTTGCTGCTAGCGACCAATTCTCGGCTCACCAGATTTCTTCAGTCAAGGGTAAAACCATAAACCACTCGCCACTGCCAAGAACGCAACAGCTTTCATTTGCTCGTCTGTTGCTGCCACCAGACAGTCTCTGTACTTACTTCAACCATGCCTGCGACCAGTACCGATGACTACCTACTTGTCTACCCCTTTCCTAGACTTACTTCATTGTGGCTTGGCTGGAGGCAATATGACGCTAATAGAGTCAAGCTTGAAAGAAGCCACTGTCATAGTTTCGACTCCATAGTGATCATGTCAAATTATATTGACAAATATTTGCATTTTTAAAATCTTATCTCAGATTTTAGTGGGAAGGATTTTGTTATCGGTTGATAGTGAACCAATCTCTCCCGCCTTCTCGTTGGACGAATGTAGCCATGTTTGTATATATATAAGGGGGCTATGGTATTGCGAGGGGAGTCGAAAGGAGTGTGGTGGATTATCGTGTGGAGACGCTTAAAGTGTTCTCTGCCTGCTTTATCCGTGTCTGGTGACCTCCTCGCATACCTGTGTAACTCCGGTCAGATCCCTACCAACGCAACAATAAAGATAAGTACTGTTTTTTAAATATTTTATTTAACAAATTGTGAATTATTATTTACTTTTTTTGGTTGTACTCTTGAGTGTACGTTTTTTCTGTGTTTAAGTTACAGTAGGCCCTAGTTTATTGCATTTTGTGTTAACCCGTACAAAGTAACTTTTGTCAATCAAATTAGATAAATAATGGACTAGTGTGAATATTTTTGAATGCAAAATGATCAATATATTACTGAATTTCTATTTATACAGTATACTATAACTAATAATAATAAATATTTATGTAGATCACAGTGTATCTCGCTAATTTAAAAAGCAAATAATGGTCGAGCGATTATTAATGACTATGAAAATTGAATAATTAATATACCTTTTTGCGAGCTGGGAGAGTTCAAGGCCGATTGTTTTTTAATACACCTATGAACAAAACTTAAAAGAAGTGTAAAGTCTTTGATACCGCCGGTTGTCTGCTTTTGTTTTCACACTTAGTTATCTCGTGTATCTTCAATGAAGGTCACCGTGTATCAAATATCTTTCAGAGTTATTGTCTAAATTCCGATATACATGCTAAAAGGTACAACCTCCTTAAGTTTTGTCCATGAGTGTATAGTGGAACTTTTTTTTTTTTTTGGATAGAGAGGAACCATTTTGTCGGTTGCTATTTTAAAATTTTTAACGTGGTCTTTGAACGGTTATGTGCCCCAAATAAACACTATATGCGGGGGTCGGTAGAAGGATGGTCTAAACCGTTGGTTTTCGACCGCTACTACCCAGGTTCGATTCCCGCATTGAGCACTTTTTCTGATTAAAAAAAAAATGCTCCAATTGCCCCCGATTCTTGCAAAAGTCCAACCCCACAAGCGAGTGCAAGTAATCAAACGGAGCTCTGGAACATTTGTAAATGCAAAGTCGAACTGCTTTTCACATGTGCAGACATGTGTTACACTTACAGTAAAAGCAGTCGCCTACTTATACCCATCATGATTATCATGGCCTGTACCACGTGTACTAGGGATAAGCAAAAAAAAAAAAAACACTATATGCAAGAAATATATGTTGGAATAATATCTGTTGTTAAGACGTTCATTTATTGGTTCGGCTGGTAATTAATAAAAATATGACATCTTGACATTGGATGTACTTTGTCGTTTTAATCACAGATTATTCATATTTTTTATAGGGAAGTGATAACAGAAAAGTAAAAATATATAGTGTCACCATAAGATGTCCTTGCTGGCGACAACGCCATTGTCAGGTGATGTCGCCAATTGTCAGGGGACAAAGAGGTTGTCACATGGACGGACATTGTGAAGCTCTGGGCATTGTGTGGATTCGGACAGTAATACCGCGAGCTTTTTGTCGTTCCAGCCTCGACAGAGAAATTGTCATCTCTTTCTTTTTTATTCATCTTTATATGGCTTATAATTATTTTATTGTAAGCTTTCTATTTGAATCAATTATTTCTTTTTGATCAATGGTGATGATTTTGACCCTTTTTGTACATTCATTTTACCCTATTTAATAATTTCTCGGTTATTTAGCCGATGTTTTAATCATTTTCTCTTTTCTTTTATTGACCGAATTTGAGGGGTATTTCGAATGATTTAACCGATACATTACCAATTTCTCCTTTTTGAAATCGAATTTAAACATATCCAGGTTTATTTAACAAAATTTATTACTGTACTTTTTCGTTTTACCATAATTTAACCGATTCCAAGTCTATATATAACCGATTTTATCACTTTCTCTCCTTTTTTATTAACTTTATTAATATCCTATAACTCTACACGACGGGCGGGAGAAGCAGTACAAGTAAGGGACTGTCCTGTAGTACGGTGTCGTGAGCCCCGAGCTGCTACGGGGAACTATGAACAGGGAACTCTGAAATGTGGCTGACTAACGGGGCAATGGCACCCCCCTTTCCCATGGAGCAACAAAATTGGACAAGACACAACCACAATATTCTATAACGCGATATCCTAAACTACTCAGGGATATTTGCGTCAATACATTTCTTTACATCATAATAAATTGGCTATATACAAGCTTATAAAAGTCAATTATTTTACATAATTATCTAAAGAAAATTGGTTAAGGAGAAAAAAAACTTTCTTTTTTGCTATAATTTAATCGATTTCGGGTTTATTTAACCAATTGACTCTTTTGAGTTGCGTCTTCTTATGATTTTTTGTTTATATGAGTATCAATAACTAAATAAGTAATAAACTATTTACATATATTAGTGGGGACACATAACAACCATTGAGTGTCATCTCGTCCTCTTCTTTTTATCTTTATAGATATTCTCAACTTTTCCAGCTTTCCAGACTCAATCTCAGCATGAAACTTTCTGGTCAACTGATTCAACTCGCGAGTAAAAACACTAGTCCATACTAGTGAGCTGGACTCCCCAGGTAGTATTGTTCTGCACTCTCTGGGTTATATTCTTCTGAAGTGTAGAATTTGTGTAATACAAGTATAAATAATTTCCATATAGGCTAATGAATAAGTTAAAAGTTTGCAAAACTTCTATTTAATATTTATAAATTCTCAATTGCCATCTATATGCATATATTGATTGAATTTGCAACAAATAAAATTACTGGCAATGTGTTTCTTTTTAATAATATCATCAAATATTAACTCTACATAATTTACTACAATGATAGGGGGTCGGTGGAAGGCTGGTTAATACGTTTGGTTTTCGACCACTACGACCCGGGTTCGATTCCCGCATTGGACACTTTTTTTCTGATTTAAAAAAAATGCTCCAATGGACCCCGATTCTTGCAAAAGTCCAACCCCACCAGCGAGTGCAAGTAACCAAACGGGGCTCTGGCACATTTGTAGGTGCAAAGTCGAACTGCTTTTCACATGTGTAGACATGTGGTGCACTTACAGTAAAAGCAGTCGCTATATACCCACCATGATTATCATGGCCTGTACCACGTGTACTAGGGATAACACTGGTCTGGTCTGACTACAATGATAAAAGTTATTGAATAAGAGGCCTTGGTTCATCAGTGGTGAACCCTCTCAGCGGTTTCATCAAATTAATCTCCAGACCGCTCTACTATTGTATTGGATTGGTTTTCTTATATATCCTGTATTTACTATGGAAGGTAGCTTAGGGGTGTTTAAGGGATCTATGGACATAAGCTTATAGGTCTGTAGAGCTACATACATTTAATTCCAAGGTATTGCATCGAGCAAAACTTTTCCGCAAATATGGTTTCATCGCAGTAAGGACAGTAGAAGTTCGTTTTATGTATAAAAGAAACATTCGCGCTTTTAAATTATTTTATTTTATATGTATAGATGGCGCGTTATTGCTTTGTTTTAAATCATTCCTAACTGGCCTTGTCTTTATAATTTGCTGAAGAGCATTGCTCGAAGCAAATATTTGAATGTAATTCTACTGCCCTATAAGCTTATGTCCATAGTTTACTTGAAAACCATTTCTAAGATTCCATCCTTCAATGTAGCATATAAAAGCAGAATGATCCAATACCGTATTAGAGCTCTGAGAAGCGGTCTGGTGGATTAAATTGGCGAAACCGCTGGGAGGGTTCACCACTGATGAGCCAAGCCCTCCCAATATATTTTTTCATCGCAGTAAGGACAGTAGAAGTTCGTTTTATGTATAAAAGAAACATTCGCGCTTTTAAATTATTTTATTTTATATGTATAGATGGCGCGTTATTGCTTTGTTTTAAATCATATTTACCATATGTATATAATCTTTCTCCATTTTTATTTCCCACTTTCATAGGTTTCTCCGTCTTGTAACCCCAAGGAGAATCCTCTGTAAGACCTGTGTGTGTTAATAAAGGCTTTTGTGTGTGTATGTGTGTATTATTGAAAAGGAACACATTGCCTGTAAATTTATTTGTTATACCCTCTCATTCAATAACTTATATCATTTCAGTAATGTCTGTAGAGATAATATTTGATGATATTATTGAAAAGGAACACATTGCCTGTAAATTTATTTGTTACAAATTTCAACGATAGATGGTAATTGAAAATTTATAAATATATAAACGTATATTACAAATTCCTTCTTAAAATTTCAAAAATAAATAACCTATAGAAATTTCTCGATAAGAAATAAATTGACTTTGTAATTTTCTATTGAGTTATTTAGGCAGAAAAAATGTTACAGAAAAAAACTAGGTCATCTTATTTTTTTGCCTTTTATCATCGTTAATTTCAATTAAAAGATCTTCTTCCTAGAGCCTTCCTGAGACTAACAGAGCATACATATTCATCAACGGCTCATTCTAATTTCCTATTCATCAATTTTCCAGGTCAAAATTGTCTTTAAATAAATTTCGATGAAATAATAGATGTGATGGTCAATTTCTCAAGATAGGATCAGTTTCAAGTTTTTTTCAGGGGAGTTCCAAACCACGCCCAAATCATTAAATCCGAAGCTCAACATCTTATTAAATCGTTAAAGACCCTCTATCGTACCTCAAACTCTTCAGAAAAAAAAGGTCACATTAAAGAATCCACTAGAGAAATTATCGAATAAATATTATCAATATGTGAATTGACGACATTACGACCCATGGACATTATGCAAGAAGGGAAATTACGAATGCAAATACCTAGCCATCTGGTCTTTCGAAGATTGCAGAGGCGTTCTGAAGATTGATTGGACAATAGACAGACAATAGGTGTAATTGGCATGAAGCATCTACCATTTAGATAATGCTAGCTGCACCTATACTTAAAGTATCTTCGTTCTTTTAACAATAGAACAATTAGATTGTACTCACTGGCTTTAATTCGACATTAAGATAATAACCTCAAGTATGATATCAAAGAACAGTCAATCCTGATGAATGGATTGAATCTCTGAACATATTTCTAGATGATTGGTTAACTTGAACACAAGAAGTTGAGAGACAGAGGTTTGCTTGTAGCGAATTTGATGTAAATGAGAAACAAAACATAATTACTAATTCATATTTCTTTAAAAATAGACACTTCAGCCAGTTAAAGTTTGATTTTCTGAACGTTTCAACAAAAATATTTTGTCTTCGTCAGGAGAAATAAAAATAAAACATTTGGCAAGCTGTTAAAAATTGTTTATATTTCTTTTAAAAATAGACACTTCAGCCAGTTAAAGTTTATTTTCTCAACGTTTCAACAAAAATCTTTTGTCTTCGTCAGGAGAAATAAAAATAAAGCATTTGGCAAGGCGTTAATAATTGTTATCCTTTCTTTTAAAAAATAGACATTTAGATCAGTTAAAGTTTGAATTTCTCTCAATGTTTCAACAAAATCTTTTGTCTTCATATCAGTAGAAATTTTAAAAAATTATTTGGCAAGGCGTTCAAATGTCTTTATTTCTTTAAAAAAATAGACACTTCGGCCTGTTAAATTTTCTAAACGTTTCATCAAAAATCTTTTGTATTCGTCAGGATAAATAAAAAGTGAAGCATTTGGCAAGGCGTTAAAAACTAATATAAAATATGAATATATTTATTAATTATATGTGAAATGAGTGCTTATACAAGTTTGCATAATACATCCATACATCGTTGAAAGGGATAAAATTTGACACTGATGATGAAGCACTGCAAGCCTTTATCCATGCCGTAAATTCCATCCCCGAAGATGACTGGTGTAAGTGCTTCTATAATTGGTTTTCACGGATGAAATTTTGCATAGGTGTTAAGGGTGAATACTTTGAAAAACTCTAAGAATTTTTAAGTTGTATCTTTAATAAAAATAAGTGATTGCAAAAAGTTTTGGGGTAACCTTTGGGTCTCGCTTGGGTATAATAAGAATATTTATTAAAATCTAATATTTCGACGTAGCTGGTTGTCAGATTTATTCTGTAAGAAAACTTCGCTTGAACACTCTATCCACTGGAACTCAAAAAAATAGACTTTTATATAGGCAAATTGAATCGATTATATTTGCATATTTTGATAAGGCACAATTTAGATTATAAATTATAAACACAAGGTAATAAGACCAAATACAAATAAATAAATAGTGTGTGACGTTTCGGTAACAGCGTTGTTGCCATCTTCAGACAAAATTTCTCATTCACTACTTTTGTCTGAAGATGGTAACAACGTCACACACTATTTATTTATTTGGATTTGGTCTTATTACCTTGTATTTGCATATTTTGTTATTTATCGATGTAAAACAATAAAAAGCCTTTATTAAGGATACTCGTCCCATACAGGATTCTCCCAGAAGATAGGTAAACACAAGTAAACATTTACCTACAGAAAATGGAGAATAACATCAATCTTTCCTCTAGTTGGTTACTTCTTCTGTGTTACGTCTTTTGACTGTGTTGTTCTCCATAATTTATGAAGAGGCAATGTATTAGTCTTGCTTTCCACTACTTTTGCTAAAAAAACATATGACTAATTTTATTTCTCGGTTTATTATCATGTATTTTATCAAATTATAATATATTTTTGTGTGTATATTTAATGTGTGAGATTTAGCTGTACGTATATTTGTGTATCAACATAAGACAATAACGCGACATCTATTAATAATAAGTAGAACCACAAAGCATACATGTTTCTGTTAAAACCGAATGAAACATATATGGAAAAATCATATGAATATATTGAATGTTGAAAATTATTTGAAAAAAAAAAATCGAATAAATATTCTTCCGTTTTATTGTGATCATTTCTTTTATTGGATTCTGTTCTCTTTATTACCTTTTGGCCCAAGAAGTCTCTCAACAGGCCTTGAGACAATGTATTTATTCCTACTTCATTATTAACATAATTATAATCCGCTCAATAGACTCGCTTTTGCAAGTTCATTAAGCTTGTAAATTGCTAAAGGAATCTGATAAATCTCCGTTGAAGGACTTTTTGTTCCTAAAGCTAGCCAGGCAGATTCTAATCAAAGAAATTTGTCGAAGTAAAATTTCACTTTTGATCTTTTTTTATTTATTTTTTTATTTTTATCACTGGAACACTTTTAGGTACAATTGTATATGGAACATATCGTGTATATATATGTATTTATAAAGTTTCATTGTTTTTTATGGAGTGTGTTTAGATGTCCTGTCAAAGGAGTTAACAGGTTGGTGTTGAGCAATCCTAAAGGAAGGAGGCATCATTACGGGAGTGGTCGGCCGAGACGTCATGGGACGGCTAAGAAAAAAGTCAGCGGCCAGTTTATGACATTATTACTGGCGGTACAACACCGATGGTTTATGACAGCGTGGTGATGATAGAATCTGCCTGGCGCCACCATCTTTATGTTCATCTTCTCAGAACCCTCGTCTTGGGACCCGTCGTTGACTGATGGTGACATTGGTGGCTCTTGTTACTGTGACATTGTTGGCTCTTGTTACTGTGACATTGTTGGCTCTTGTTACTCTGACATTGTTGACTCTTGTTACTGTGACATTGTTGCCTCGTGTTCTATGACATTGGTGGCTCTTGTTACTGTGACATTGTTGGCTCTTCTTACTGTGACATTGTTGGCTCTTGTTACTGTGACATTGTTGGCTCTTCTTACTGTGACATTGTTGGCTCTTGTTACTGTGACATTGTTGCCTCGTGTTCTATGACATTGTTGGCTCTTGTTACTGTGACATTGTTGGCTCTTGTTACTGTGACATTGTTGGCTCTTCTTACTGTGACATTGTTGGCTCTTGTTACTGTGACATTGTTGCCTCGTGTTCTATGACATTGGTGGCTCTTGTTACTGTGACATTGTTGGCTCTTCTTACTGTGACAT